CACTTCACTTTGGGTTGGTCGTTCACTTGGCTGCCTTTATTATGATAAAATGATTAATGCTCTTACACACAGTTCCTCTTCAACCCTAATACAAATTTATTTAAACTCTAGCTGCATTCAATAGAGGTTCTACCTCTTTACCACATGTATGTATTGCTCCTTTTTTCAAATGTCCTTAGGCTGGTCACATGACACGATGGGTATTCTTCCTTTTCTCATTTTCTCCAGCTGAGGGCAGTCTTCTGCCATGTGATGTCACCAGTGCAACTCTCTGCTACATCACACTGTGAATAAAGGATGCTGTGGTGATGTCCATTAATTTATAGTATATCCTCAGAAACCTGAGAAAATCTTGTAGCAATAAAAAAAGTACTGTGGTGGATGACTTTGCAATGAAGGTGTATATTGTATTTCAGCCTGAGCTGCATTTTCTTTGCACCCTGCCTGTAGTCCATTTACATTTAAAAAATCGCCCAGAGTTGGGCTTTAAGCCACCTAGAAAAGCATATGACTTAAACACCAAACCTTCCCATTTTTATAAAAATATATGTTAGGCTAGCCTCCAAGACTCCGTAGGGCAAGTTTCCTGTAATTATTTAAAGTGGCAGTGAGCAGTCCTATTAGTGTTTAGGCATCTCCAGAATGTAGGTAAGTGGTGTTTTGTTCTCCGTCATTTCATGCGTTTTCTAAAACCCCCATATAAACACAGCTCTGCAGAGTAACTTTAACTGTGTAGTGTGGTTGATCGTTCACAGGCTGCGTTTGACCTGATTTGCTTTGTGTTTCTTTGGATACAGTCGGCTCTATTGAGATCCTTTTACACTGCAGGCAAAGCAGGTCATAAGGAGTCTTTGCTATGTTTTGCATTTAAAAGCATGAGCTTGAGCAGTGCTGCGTTTGAATGCAAAATGGCGCACTCACCAACAAAGCCAATCTACACAAGCTCCTAAAGGGTTCAAGAAAACTGATTGATGCTTGCTGACATTAAATGATAAAAGCTTGTCAAATAAACTTCTGCTATACAAGACAAAGACTTAACTGTATCTCTTTGCTTTTAAGTGCATTATTCTGATCAGCATGTCAGCTGCAGGATGTTAAATGCAACCAGCACAAAATAGAGTGGTTATAGGTCCCGAACGTGGCTCCAGCTGTTCATACCAACAGATTTATTAAGCACACACAAACCTTTATATGTTTCTGTTGGTCAACACTGCATACTGATTATTAGCATGACATACAAAATGAATAATTGAAGTTAGCAGGGTTAGTAGTGTTCCAAGGGGGCTTGTTTATGCAGTGTACTACAATGCTGTGTGTTAATACACACCTAGCCAACACGTATTGCCTTAATGTTAATAGTGAGACATGGAAAAAAAACGATTTGTCAAAGATTTTCTGACCTCTGTCCTTGTCTCCTAGTTGTGTTTCTATGTTGCCACCCTCTCACATGCTGTTACAAGATGACAACCCTCTCTCCTTGTCTCCCAGTTGTGTTCCTCTATGCTATGCTCTATCTATAAAGACTACAAGTGGCTGTTTCCACACACTGTGGTCTTTTTAATTTTGCTCCTGCATTGTCACCCTGTCCCACACTTGCCAAAGAGAGACTTAAAGTGACATTAAACCCTTAGATTTTTTTAACCTCTTGCCGTCCGCCCCTAGTAGAAAAACGGACGGACGGCACTGCTGCATTGGCGGGTTGCCGTCGCCAGACGGCATTTTTTTTCTGCTCGCGCGCGCCCCCTAGCGGGCACGCACAGGCAGAAAAGACCCGTCCAATGCGAACACCCGGTACCGGGTGTTTCACATATAGGCGATCAGCGGGTCCATAGCCCGCCGATCGCCTATATGTGCTCGTTTGCGTCCGCACCATCCCCCCCGCGCGGTAAGGGGGTTTAACACCGCGGATGTCAACTGGTTAACATAAACCAATACGGTAATGTATGCCTTACTGTAATCCATGGTTGTTTCCCTTCTCTTTGCTGCTCTTCCTTTTAAATCTGTATCTCTTCTCATGCTAGGGGAGAACTTCCCTTTGCAGCTGAGTGCCTCTTCCTGTAGTGCTGGCTCAGGTTGTGAACCTGCACACAGACACCATGTATCCATTTCAGTCTGCTTCAAAACAGAAGTTCTGCCCAGCATGAGAAGAGATAAGGATTTAAAAGGAAGAGCAGCAAAGAGAAGGGAAACAACCATGGATTACAGTAAGGCATACATTACAGTATTGTTTTATGTTAAAAGATCTGAGGGTTTAATGTCACTTTAAGCAGCCATGTTCCATTTATGTCACCATCAGGAAACCCACCATGAGCAATAATGTGCAGTAGCTGCTGGGGAAAGTGCATGTAGGCAGCAAGTAGCTGCAAAGAGGCTGAAGGAGATCAGATACACTGAGGTAAAACAAAGGATTAAAAAAGGTAAGACATTATTTTATTCAAAACAAAAAATGGCAATTGTTTATTATACACAATGCAAACTACATGTCATTCAGTTAGGGCTTGCATCTACTTTAATGATGTACATTATGTTATGTAATAAGTTATGTAATAAGTTATTTGGTATTTCATTGTTAATAAAATAGAATGAAATATGTATAATTACAAAGCTACACATCTGTAAAATGGCAGTCTGTCTGTAATGTATTCTCTCTTCTTGCTGAGCATAAGGGTGTTGAACTATGTATAGTTTATTTTATGCTGTGCTGGGTGATTTCCCAGACCAGTGGGGCAGATTTGTACAGATTACAATTGTCCTTTACATCTACCAAAATAGTAAACAACACTTCACAGCCTTTTCAGGAGTAGCTAATTTGTATATTTTAATATCTTCACTCTTCTTTGGGAACTGATTATTAGAGAAAGAATGAACATTCTTGTTGATGGCATGCTTACATTTCAGTGGTCTGAATTGCCATTTCAGTAACAGTAGACAGTTGGTATAGCAGTCTGAGACAAGACTCGGTTAAGTGTTTTACTAAAGATTGTAATTAAAGTATGGTTTTCTCTGTTTACACATGTACAGTATGTGATGTCAAAGATTTTAAAGTTGGAAATGAAGTAACCCCTTTTCTAGAAGAGAGGTTTCCAGACTATGTGGCATATTAATAAAGCAGTAATTGTGACATTTGCCAAACATTCAACGGTGGTGACCTGCAGTAAGCATTTCACATTCACTATTTAATTTTTCTAATTAAAAAAAAATAAAAAATCTTGATTGTTAAAAGATGAATTAGTTGCATAGTGCCTGATGTTTCTTCAATACTTTCTGAGTCACAGAAGAAGAAAGAGAGTAAAAATAAGAAATCCCTGCCCTAAGCAGAAATGTCTGTACAATACAGGAATATCATAGTGTGAAAAGCTTTATTATCATACCAATGAAACACATAAAAAAGGGAAAAATGTGTCCCAAAAATACATTGAACTATGGTACAACAATGTAACAGCACTCCAAACAGGAATACGTCATGAACCCTAAAATTATTAAAAACACACCCACATCTTCCCAAAAATCATCACCTTCAGTCATAAAATATGCAAACAGTTTTTTATAAAAGATGAGAAAAGGTCCTAGTATAGGACCTTAACCTGGACTGCCCCACATCACAAATGATGTCTAAGGATGCTGTTTAAAAGGGAACTAAAGTCAAAACTTTTTTTTGGCTTCAGTCCTCTTTTGGGTTAAAGGAGTACATTTACTAACGTACTCCTGTGACCCAAAGGCAGCATCTGGCGGGCTACTGCCTGCTATTTGCTGACAGTGCAGAGCTGCGCTGCAGCCAGGAAAGATTCCAACAATATTGTTGGAATCCAGCTCGCTGCTAGCTTGACAGCTGGCTCTCCTGCCAGAGCCAGCTGTGCCCGCTCCTTCCCCTGCCTGTCTCCCCAATAAGCGCTTGAGGGATAGAGAGGGGAGGGGGGAATCCCAATGGGGAGTGGTGACTTACAATCAAAGAAGAAGACCGTGAGCTGAGTGATCAGCAGTTCATGATCGCTCAACTCTTAAACTATAGAGCCAGCATGTGAAACCTGCAGTGTCACATGCCAGCTCTAAGTATTGGGAAGACTACATTATACTCTCCCAATACTTGTCCTTTAATACAAAATATTTACCTACATACAATAAGCACATAGATAAACCCCTTGTGAATGTAAAAAGTACTATATGTAGTTCACACTGTGTCAGTAAATTGAATGAATGTTGGTAAACCCTGAGCAGCAGGAGGAGGAGGATGGTGTCATTAAGGGCAGAAAAGTCATAAAAAAGGATAAGGCAAGGCCAATGGATGAATAGCTCCATGGGTTTTGCGATTGGTGGCTTCCCTCGTCAGAAGCTACCAAGAGAGAAGCGTTGAAGTCAGACACAGCCAGGCAACTAGCCTAGTCAGCAATGTCAGTCTACATGTTTTCTGTCAGGTGTACCGTAAATACTTAAAGGGAAAATATAGCGTGTTTTAATAATCACATATATTGAACAGTTAGTGCAGAGAAATTTAGGCCAGAATTAAACATCCGTGTTGAGGTAACAGGCGTGTTGCTGTGTGCATAACACAAATGGCAATCCAAGGCACTAAGGCAATGCACTCGCATTGTAGCGCACCGCAATGCACAACAGTGCCTTGCATTAGAAAAAAAAGGGTCATGTGTGATTCTAAGCCCGTTAGGGTGTGTTGGCAACCCTTTCATTTTGAATGAGCTGCCACCACACCGCACCAATATAAATATTTGTTAACGCACTGCAAAGATGTAAATGGGCCCTCAGAATGTCACAAAATAATGTTTGTTAGGTGACAAGTGGAGATACCATGTACTGTATGCAAAAAGTATTGAGGGATGTGCGATGAATGAAGAAATAGATAACTGTAAATCGGAGAGAATTCCTGTCTAACGTGTAATGTTCAGCTATAACCTCTATGGAGAAGCCAAATGAATCAACATGCATCTCCACCATGTATGATGGACTCTGTAGTGGAGGCAGAATTATTTATTTTTGGCTAACAATTTAATCAAGTCAATGTTACCAGAATTCGATTCTTACTATAATGCTTTTTGTAAGATGAATGCAAAATAACTTAATACATAAATCATACAGTTTGTAAGTCACCACTTTTGTTTAGGTTTACTCTTCTATATATTTTTGCTTGTATCATCGGCTTTGCCCACACACTTGTTGTATTTCATAAATTTCTTTGGGACATTCAGCAGAGAGAATAATAGGAGACCGTTCTGTGATTACTACATCATCTTCAATGCGGATCCCCAAACCTCTGTATTTTTCGGGAATCTCAGTTTCAGTTCTAGGAATGTAAATACCTAAAATGAAAACAATTATATCTCAATTAATTGTACATGTACATTTCATTTTATTTCCTGTTGCTGACATTTTCTTTTATTTGAACTTCATCAGTTTGTATATCTCTTAAATTCATGGAGCAGTATTTAATTAACAAATAAACTCAAGCAGTGGATTGTTTGCAACACAGTAAATACCAAGACCACATTTACAGATCTATTTCTATCCTCTACATGACAACTTTATGTGCAAGAACATTCATGAACATCTGATCAACGGACCCACATATGATGCATCCAGACTTATTTTTGGTGTATTCTGTTTATGGAGCTACCTGGATATATAGCCATTCAGGCCATGCCCACACAACAATTGTGTCAATATCCTTTGCATTAGGGCAGCTTATTCAAATGAACGGGCTGCCAATGCACCACAGCCAACAAAAAACATACAGTTGTACATGCACCACAACATACAGTAGTGCGTTATCTGTGTGTTGCAATGCATGTGTGTTGGAAGTGCACTGCACCACAATGTACCGGATAGGATAACTGTAAATGGGCTCTGAATGTTTGTTTGCCTCACAAAATATGGAGAAATACATAAATATGTTCAAGCCAAAAGAGCTGCAAAGAATTCCTATCATTTTGGTGACTCTAGACTGGCAAAATAGAGATCATTTCTCTGGTAGCAGACGCCCCCCTGGCCTCTTCCTGTTTGGTCAGACCTTTTAGCTCAGGGCCCATACTGCTTCTCAAGTTTTCAGATTTAAATGGCATGGCTATTGAACCCAAGTTCTAAGAGAGAGTGGTCTATCAGAAGCTGTCATCAATGCTCTTCTCACCATGTCTAGCACCGTTACTGGAAAGTTTTCTGTGAATGGTGTGAGAAACACAATTTCAACTCATGGCCTTTTTGGTAGATTAGGTTCTCAGTTTTCTACAGTTGGGCATAGATCTGCACCTAGCTCCGAGTACCATCAAAGGTCAAATCTCAGCCTTTGTGATTTTGTTTCAACACCCTTTGGAACCTGATTAGCTGGTATGCCCATTTGTTAAGGGGCAAGTCATAGCAGAGATGTGTATTCTTATGCTGGGTGTTATATAGCCCCTGATGGGTGGAGTAGAGGTGTATGTCAGTTTTCAGCCCCCCAACCCACCCTCGCCTATTTATGCCACCCTCCTGGGATGTTACTTCCTAGATGAGGGCATGCCAGGTCAGTTCAAAGGGGGTTTTCTAATCCTTAAAGGTTATTTCAATTTTTGCAGCCAAATTGGGATAACACCCATTTTATATTGGTTACATGTTCTCATTCACATAGAATAACTTTAAAAAATGTTGCTTACATATTACTTGTTTTCTCATATTACTAAATTTAATTTCCCTCCAGAACGCAAGGGGGCTGGGGAGGCTACCATAAATAGCACTGTCTATACTGTGTTGACAGATCTCTTTATTAGTTGTAAACTAGATTGGAAAACTGTGCTAACAAAGGATTTGAGATCTACATGAATTGTATGATAATGAGGGGAATCTGAGAGTGTCCCTAGTCTTTCTATGGGGACAGCTAGAGTTTCCTACCTAAAGGCCAATTCCACAGAGATAAAGGTAAGAAATCGTTTAAAAAAAAATTATTGTCTGGTATGATAATGGGAACACCTAGCAAACATATAGTAAAGGTTCTCAAATTTGATTGCAAGAATAGAATTTTGTTCTTACTGTAAAATCCTTTTCTCGAAGTCCATTTAGGGCCACAGTGCTAAAGAATTCTGAGACGTTGGGTTATGCTACTACCTCCAAGAGAAATCAACACTAGGCAAAGAAATTAAAAGCCTGCCACTTTAAGGGCATAACCCCTCCCACCTCACACCTGCCAGTTGTAGCAATCAATATGAAAGGAATTGAGGGGAGGGATCTGTCTCCCTCAATGGACTCAGATAGGGCTGCAGCTAACGATTATTTTCATAATCGATTAGTTAGCCGATTATTGGGTTCAATTAATTGGTTAATCGGATATTTTTTTAAAAGGCTCCAGTGATGGACTACTAGTTTGTATTGAGATTGTAGTCCATTACGGGAGCAAGCTTGGCGCGGTGGAAGTAAAAAATAAAAGTGTGGTGTGCAATATAGTACATTATACAGCGTCACGATGCAGAATACCAGCGGCTATAGAGGAATACAGCAAATCGCAGCAATAGTACATTATACTATAATGTACTATTGCTGGGATTTGTAGTCCTCTGTAGCTGGCGTTATTCTGCATTGCGCTGTATATAATGTATTATTGCTGCGATTTGTAGTCTTCTATAGCTGGTGGTATTCTGCAGTGTGCTGTATTATGATTATACGGTGCAATGCAGAATACCAGCAGCTACAGAGGAATACAACAAATGCCAGCAATAGTACATTTACTATAATGTACTATTGCTGGGATTTGTTGTCCCTCTATAGCTGGTGGTATTCTGCAGTGTGCTGTATTATGATTATACGGTGCAATGCAGAATACCAGCAGCTACAGAGGACTACAAATCCCAGCAATAGTACATTATACTATAATGTACTATTGCTGGGATTTGTTGTCCCTCTATAGCTGGGGGTATTCTGCATTGTGCCGCTGTATAATACATTGGTATTCTGCATTGTATTGTGCATGGTACTCAGCATTGTATAATAAAGCGGCACAAGGCAGAATACCGCCGACCAGGTGTGTGTGTGTGTGTTCTAGCTTTTTCCTAAGCGCAGATTTGATATTTAACATTAAAAAGGTATCTCGAGTGACTTACCTTGAATGACGATGGGCCCTTGATTGTCGGCGGGCCAGCGGCGCGTGAGGGAGTTTGCGGCGAGTGAGGGAGCTCGCGGCGAGGAGGAGAGCAGCAGCGTGCGCGGCTTCTGCGTCCTGTGCGGTGGGCATGGCCTCTTCGTCCTGTGCGGTGGGCGTGGCTTATGCGGCCTGTGCGGTGGGCACAGCGGGAGCAGCGTATGACGTGTGGCTCAGGCTGCGTGTGGAGCCCCGAACAGGCTAACCAATCGTTTGACAACGTTTTCAATCGTCGATTTTAATCGACTAAATAGATTAACTGTTGCAGGTCTAGACTCAGAGAAAAGGACTTTATGGTAAGCAATTTGTCCATTAAGGATTACAGCTCTAAAGAATTCTGGGACATTGGGACATTCAAAAGCAATCTAAAACAGAGGGGTGGGCACCATAAAAACTAGGAGAACCAGCTCAAGGACTCAAACAGCCGCCTGAACAACTTTTCTGCCAAAAATAGCATCAGAAGAGGTAGAAACATCAACTTTTTAAAACTAGCAAAAGTGTGAACAGAAGACCAAGTTGCAGCCTTGCAATTTGAGTAGCAGAAACTTGATTCTGAAATGCCCAAGAAGTACTAACTGCCCTAGTAGAATGAACAGAGACAGGAAAAGAAGGAACCTTATCCAGCAACTCGTAGGCTTGAATGACAAGCTAGCAAATCCACTTAGAAATAGTGGAGCTAGAAGCTGAACAACCTTTTTTAGGCCTTTCTGGGAGAACAAATAAAAAGTCTGGATGTCAAAAGGAATCTGTGTCTGAGAGATGAATACTGATAGCCCACACGACATCCAAAATGATAATGAGAAAATCTCCTTAGGATAAACAGGAGCAGGACAAAGTAAAGGTAAAACAATGTCTTCATTAAAATGGAAACCTGAGACTACCTTTAGTAAAAAGGAAACCTGGGGTCTCAAATCAACCTTGTCCTTATGAAGAACCAAATTGGGTTCTTTACAAGACAAAGCAGACAACTCTAAAACCCTTCTAGCCGAGGTAATGGTCACAAAAAAAACAACCTTTCTGGATAACAAAGACAAAGAGATGTTCCATTCAGTGAACCTATCTTTCTTTGTAAAGGAACCAGAAATTGCTTATCCAGAATTTTCCAATCCTTATATAAAAACCTCAAAAACAGGAAGAAAAATCTTGCAGACATGCTCAGGTTTATGTGAACCTAGACAACAAATTACAGAAGTAGAAATAACATCAGAATCATTTAATTTTAAAGAGGAATGCACAGCTCTCATTTAAGAAGGCAACCATTTTTTTCTGATTTTGAGTGAATCTATCACAGTATATAAAGTATAACAAGCACAGGTCACCATAGCAACACTCAAACACCCTGCAATGTACAGGCCATTGTAACTAAAGAACAGAAACATCAGTGACACCAAATGTAAAGCACAAATGTCACAAGTTTCTGAATAAAACCAGTAGTAAGAGAAAAAAAACCTCACTTTTACACAGGGCCCTGCTAATGACAGTCTATTCTGACAATTCTGCCTCAGACAAATTCAGACATAATAATACTCCTGGGCTCGACCAGTGTGAGGTAAAAATATGAGGTACCACAACCACCTGTTGCAGACAGCAGAATATTTGAAGAATGGCTGTATAATGGTACAAAAAACAGAATATCTCTGTTCTCCCTAATAAGCAACATGAAATTGAAGGCAAATAAGAAACAGAGTCAAAACCGCTCTGTCCTTCTTTCCTGCTCATAGAAACCCACTGCACCATTCTGAGGAAACCAAAAAAACAGACTGTGCATGCGTAATAGATAAAAACAAGTGCGTCCTCAAATGGAAGTCCTGGTCTCTTAAATAGATGGTGGGAAATGTAAGGAAAAACTCTGGGTAAATCTTTTTTTTTTTTAACCACTTAAAGACCATGGTGTTTCACCCCCTTCCTGGCCAGGCCATTTTCAGTGTTCAGCACTGTGGTACTTTGACTGACATTTATTCAGTCATGCAACGCTGTACTGAAACAAATTTTATACCATTTTTTGGGAACTGATAGAGCTTTCTTTTGGTGGTATTTAATCACCACTGGGGTTTTTATTTTTTACTATATAACAAAAAAAGTACCCTAACTTTTGAAAAAAAAAAACCTGGCACCTGCAGCTACTTCAGTTAGTACAAGCGATCGGGCATCTCTAGAGAAGCTGATCGCTTGCACCTCCCGTCTATGGCCGTCCGGCCATGGACGGGAGGTGGTTAAATCATATTTTATAAAAACAATTCACTACAAAACAGAAAAGCAGATACCATTGTCTGTATAAATGACATGAATGAGCACAAACGTTGCCATGAACATGCCGTGGGCAAACATAGGTTATCATCTGGACTTAGCAAAAATATAAAAAAAAAAAAATAGAACAACAACAGGTTGCATCTGCATCAGGTGACGTATCACTCATTGGTAATCAATTAAACATAAAGAAATAAATGAAAACAAGGCTAATCTGGATCTATTGCTAACGTCCCCAGAGTATTTGACATTCGACCTTTAAGATACCAACTGGTGTAGTGAAAGGGCGAGATTAAGTGATGAATTTCAGCTGTCGTATAAGATTGTACCAAGAACAGTTTCCATCTGTGAAAAAAGGGTTGTGCACGAGCATCCTTGTGAGATTCTGCATCAAGCTTGTCCCTGCTTAACAGCATTTTGAGATCCTTGACCAGCTCCTGCACTGTTGGAGGCGAAGTATTGCATTTGTGTACAATCACTCTACGTGCTGCGAGGAGACAGATGTCTAACCAGTCCAGTCTTCTAGGATATGCCCCATTCCTGTCGCTCTGCAATGGTGAATAATGGCCAAACAGGCAAAGGGCAGGATCCAGTGGGGGCATCCAGGAGAGAACTCATGCGATATATGAAATCAGGAGTGTCCAGAAGTGATGAATCCTGGGTAAAGCCGCTCTTGGTAGTAGAATAGTCAACAAAGAAACAAAATAAACTAAAATAATAAAGTAGAAGACAAGGAGACATCTATTCTCCTGAGGACACTAAGCGAAACTGGCAAATGTGAGGTGGGATGGTTATTTCCCCACAGTGGCAGGCTTTTAATTTTTTTTTTGCCTAGTGTTCATTTGTCCTGGAGGCTCAGAATTCTTCAGAACTGTGTCCCTCACTGGACGATCAAAAAAATTATTTCGCTAAAATAGGCAGAAATGTTTATAATGTTTTTTCGATTTTGTTATGTTGCAGCCTGATACTACAGTTGTTTAAATTCTTTTTTTTCCTCATTAATCTACACTGAGTACTCCATAATGACAAAGTGAAAACAGAATTTTAGAAATGTCTGTGAATGTATTCAAAATAAAAAACTGAAATATCACATGTACTTAAGTATTCAGACCTTGTACTCAGTACTTTGTTGAAGCACCTTTGGCAGGAATTACAGTCTCAAGTCTTTTTGGGTATGACACGACAAGCTTTGCACATCTGGATTGTGGGATTTTCTGCCATTGTTCTTTGCAAACCCTCTCAAGCTCAGTCAGGTTGCATGAGGACCGTCGGTGGACAGCCATTTTCAAGTCTCTCCAAAGATGTTCAATAGGGTTCAAGTCAGGGCTCTGCCTGGGCCACTCTAGGACATTAACAGAGTTGTCCCAAAGCTGCTCCTGTGTTGTCTTGGCTGTGTGCTTAGGATCGTTGTCATTTTGGAAGGTGAACCTTCGGCCCAGTCTGAGGTCCTGAGCGCTGTGGAACAGGTTTTCATTGAGGATATCTCTGATATCTCCATTCAGCTTTCCCTCAATCCTGACCAGTGTCCCAGTCCCTGCTGCTGAAGAACACCCCCACAGCATGATGGTGCCACCACCATGCTTCACTGTTGGGATGGTATTGGGCAGGTTATAAGCAGTGCCTGGTTTCCTCCAGACATAACATTTAAAACTAAGGCCAAACAGTTCAATCTTGGTTTCATCAGACCAGAGAATCTTGTTTCTCACACTCTGAGAGTCCTAGCGGGCTTTCATGTGTTTTGCACTGAGGAGAGGCTTTCGCCTACCCACTCTGCCTTAAAGGCCAGATCGGTGGAGGGCTGCAGTGATGGTTGTCCTTCTGGAATTTTGCCCCATCTCCACACTGGATCTCTGGAGCTCAGTCAGAGTGACCATCGGGTTCTTGGTCACCTCTCTTACTAAGGCCCTTCTCCCCAGATTGCTCAGTTTGGCCGGGCGACCAGCTCTTGGAAGAATCCTGGTTGTGCAAAACTTCTTCCATTTGAGAATTATGGAGGCCACTGTGCTCTTGGAAACCTTCAGTGAATCAGAAATTGTTTTGTAGCCTTCCTTTGATCTGTACCTTGCAATAACCTTGTTTCTGAGCTCTGCCGGCAGTTCCTTTTGACCTCTTGGCTTTTGCTCTGATGCAGTATGCATTGCCAGCTGTGAGGCCTTCTATAGAGAGGTGTGTGCCTTTCCATATCATGTCCAATCAATTTAATTTATCACAGGGGCACTCCAATCAAGGTGTAGAAACATCTCAGCAACGATCAAGAGAAATGGGAGGCACCTGAGCTAAATTTCAGGTGTTGTTGCAAAGGGTCTGAATACTTATGCCAAAGTGATATTTCAGTTTTTTCTTTTTAATAAATTTACAGACATTTCTAAAATTCTGTTTTCACTTTGTCATTATGGGGTACTGAGTGTAGATTAATGAGAAAAACAAAGAATTTAAACCCGGGGTAGCAAACCTCCTTCCCTCCAGCTGTAGTGGAACTACAAATCCCATGAGGCATTGCAAGATTCTCACAGCCACAGATATGACTCCCGAAGAGAGATGCATCATGGGATTTGTAGTTCCACCGCAGAAAAATGGCAGCAGGTGCTCTGGACTGATGAGCCAAAATTTGAAATATTTGGCTGTAGCAGGAGGCAGTTTGTTTGCCGGAGGGCTGGAGAGCAGTAAAGTAATGAGTGTCTGCAGCAACAGTGAAGTCTGGTGAAGGTACCTTGCAAGTCTGGGGCTTGGTCAGAGATTTGGTCAGGATCAATTGTGTCCTCAACGCTCAGAAATACAAGCAGATACTTATTCATCATGCCATACCATCAGTGAGGCCTTTGATTGGCCCCAAATGTCTTTTGCAGGAGGACAACGCCACAAAAATATACAGCCAATGTCATTAAGAACTATCTTCAGCGTGAAGAACAAGGAGTCCTGGAAGTGATGGTTTGGCCCTTATGTCAACATTGAGTCTGTCTATGATTACATAAAGAGACAGAAGGATATGATGCAGCATACATCCACAGAAGATCTGTGGTTAGCTCTCCAAGATGTTTGGAACAACCTACCTGCCGAGAGCCTTTAAAAACTGTGTGCAAGTGTAATCGATGCAGAAGAATCTATGCTGTTTTGAAGACAAATGGTGGTCACACCAAATATTGATTTGATTTGGATCTCACTTCTGTTCATTTACTTTCCATTTTGTTAATTGATAAAAATAAACTATTAACACTTTTATTTCTGAAAGCATTCTTACTTTGCAGCATATTTTCACACCTGCCAAATAGTTTGCACAGTACTGTATAAAACACATATACTATATATCAAGGTTCTGCTTGAGACTCCAGGCACCCTTTTCTCTGGTTTCAGTGCATGACCTTGCAGCTAACCACGCTTTCCCAGGTGTAGAAATGATGATGGTCCACACAAAGAGTGGCAAAATGATGGCAACATCTTTATAAAAAATTTTACCCAACAAACGTTTGGCAGTGCAGCCATTTTGTCTTGGAAAATATATGTATTTTACCCTATATGTACAAAATGTAGTCTACTTAGACATGTCCTACAGTTCAGAGTGTCAGCACACTTTTTTACCTGGCTCTATTGTAATCACCATGCCTGGTTGTAGGAGCAGCGATCGAGATACATCAGGAGTATCATGCACATCCATGCCAAGATAATGTCCAACATGGTGTGGGCAGAGCCTTCGTGCGGCCTAGAATACCAAGAAAAAAAATCAAAGCATTCATATTTTACATTATTTCATATTATCAGCAATAATGTTGTTTTTTTTTTTTGTTTTTTTTAAAAGAAGGGGTAGAGGGTAGATAACACTGGCTGAACAGCATCAACATCACATTTGCCCACCAAGCAAACAGATAGCTTTTCAAAAATGCACCTTAAATTTAAAAGAATGTAATCATGTGCAGTGAGTAAAAATATGCTTCCCATCTCATCCCCATCCCTACTACCATGAAATGGTTGTGATCTTTAGTGTACTTCTAACCTTACTATTTTTCAGTGGTGACGGAAATGCGTACCAAAACTGCATTAGCTGCATTAGCTACTGGAGTGTTACCAGGGTCTGCCATAGGAGGCTGTAATTGGAATTGTTAGACGTGCACTTACATACTAGGGCAAATTTATACAATAGCCAAATAAAGGGTTAGTTCACTTTTGATCGTTAAAAAACTATCTGCAGCAATCAACCCAACTATGAATGCAAAATCATATTTCTGAAAACATTAATATCCCTCTTTTCTTACATACAGCAATTGATCCCTGTAGACACATGATCAGGCACTGTAGTTCAAAAAGGAATGTGAATGTAGGAATGGGAATGTGCATTCACACACAAATTCAAAACTCTAGATATTGGTCTAAATATGGACAAACATGTTATGTGCCGCTATGATTTTAATTCATATCTAACCTTTGACAATAAAAGCCTGTTTTCGTCAAGCCTTATAAAAAAAAAAAAAGTTTTAAAATAGTTTTGCGGTATTGGAGCTTTGTGTTTTCTTGCATCAATGCTGAACTGAGAGCTGCATGGAGTAGAGAGAGTGGCTATCTGTGGTGGTTGTCCGTGCGTATTCGGCCGGCCGAATATGTGCGGAGCCGCTCTGACAAAATAAAAAGCAATGCACTTTAATGTGCATTGTTCAGACTTTTTTAGCGGCAGCGCAGGACGAAACCGTGCGGCCTGCAAAATAGCCCAAGCTCGATTTTTTTCTTTTGACGGATTCCGCACGTTCGCGGCTATAGTAATACTTGCAAATGAGTGTAATCCATGCTGATGAAAGATTTTAGCAATTGCGTGCCGCGTGATCTTCCACACGGAAAACTGGGTGAAAAACGCAAACGCTATATGTGAATGGAGCACGGAAATGGAGCACGGAAAACTGAGTGAGAAAGCAAACGCTATATGTGAATGGAGCACGGAAATGGAGCACGGAAAACTGAGTGAGAAAGCAAACGCTATATGTGAATGGAGCACGGAAATGGAGCACGGAAAACTGAGTGAGAAAGCAAACGCTATATGTGAATGGAGCCTTAGGATTATTGAAACAGAGTGCATTCTGACCACTGTTATTAGTGGTCATTTGGTGAGTTGCCCATTTCAGAAAGAGCACTGAGAGGTGTAATAAGCACTGGATTAGAACTGTTTTGGAGCACCTTTGTAGAGTTCAAGCACTTATTTGCATTTTCATCCATATACATTATTGAGGAGGAATATATATGGAGTTGGACTGATTATTTGTATTTTTATTTTGTACAAATGTGAATGGGCTCGATTGGTTGTTGGAGATGTGATATACTTGCACATAATTATGTATTTTGCACATGTATTGCTGATTTTCACATGCATTTTTGTTTATTTTCATCTGTGTTTTATAAAATATAGATTCTAAATTTTTCAGTTACTGATAGCACAATGCACTTTTGATACATACATGATAAAATACATAACAAAGAGACTAAATAATGGGAAAGGCTTTGTGGGTTGACAGCTTCAGATAAATTCTCTCAGAACCTGTGTTTTAATCGCCATGCTGCTTAAAAGAGAACTATGGGGTAAGTGTTTTTCCCCATAGTTCTCTTAAAGGTCACGGGAGGACATATAATAGCGTCCTCCCATGACCCAAAGCTCAGTATATCGCGAGCTACAGCTCGCGGTATACTGAGAGCGCTGCAGCCAGGACGGATCCCGATATTACTGTCGAGATCCACCCAGCTGCGTGAGTGACAGCTGGCTCTGCCTATCTAGAGGCAGAGACAGCTGTACCCGGCCCCTCCCCATCCGTTCTTCCAGTCAGCGCTGGTGGATCGGAGCGGGGAGGAATCCCTGCAGGGAGCCATGACTGACAGTCACGGCTCTCTGCCGGGAGATGATCGAGTACTGAGCGAGCGGCGGCATGTGTTCGTTCACTACCCGATCTATTGAGCCGACGTGTGACAGTTTCATTGGCACACGTCGGCTCGAACTATGAGGTTGAGTGATTTTCACTCACCTCATAGTTCTCCTTTAAGTTAGAGAAAGAAAAGCTGGATGCAAAATTGGTCCCTTTGAAAGACATGTCTTGGTGAAAAGACTATTCTCCAGGGTGCAGCTGTTGACAGCTTAGGGAATTAACTATCCAACTGTCTACTCCTGGAATCTAGACTGTTGACAGACTAGGGACATGACATAATGCTAAATCTCTGTCTGCTGCTTGACTTCAGATTTCTCCGTAATGATTTTATAGGCCACTGATGGACACCAGATGGCCCTAAATATGGGCTTTCCAGTGTAAAAGAGACAAGCAAATATCCCTGATACCCAGTTTGTTAAACAACATATTGGATTCCTCTTGCATCCAGCAACCCTGCACCTAAAGGGTTCTGAGTACTCTTCTCCAGCCAGAGAAACTTGGGTCTGTGGTGAGGATTTGACTGACCACGAGAACCATGGGTGACTGAAACCACAAAAACAGATCCTGCTTGGCCTGAGGAGACAGGAGAAGCCTATTTCCCAAAGATAAAGGGGACCTGTCTCATTTGGCCAGTATGACCAGAGTTCTCCAATGGAGAACTCTGGTGAGAAACCAAGAGCCTGTATACAGAGTTGGAAGAGAGAGCAATGTTGAGCATGAAAAAGGGAGATTTGTTGTCTCAAAACTCTTATCTTTGCGGGAAAAATAAGTCTTTCACTTGCCTAGTGTACAGTAGCATTCCCAGATATTATGGGTGCTGCAAGAGGAACAGACAGAATTTGTATTGATTCATAACCTAGCCGAAACAATAAGGGTCGCTTGTATGCCACACTACAGATCCCTTCAGGAAGAGATAATCTAAAAGTCATTACTTTTACCCCCACACCACTGAAATATTTTTTCCTTCTGCAACGTATCCCCCACAACTCAAGTGCCACTTGGAAGTCCAGCACCTTCCACATACCTTTCCATTTTCAAAAGTATTTTAGCATAAAGCTAGTAGTTGTTAGTCACGCTTAAGTGAACTTGTTCTGCACTGGCTTCTGTTGCAGATCTCCCTACACTCTCTGCAGTAGCTTCGCTCGCAGATTTCCCACTATCTGCACTAAATTCTATGGTTTCCCCCTTCCCCCTGCATGTTATGTTACCTCCATACAATGTTGTCACCACCACCTACACTACCCTTGGGCAGCTCTTCTTTATACCCTGGTTTCCTTAAAAAAGACAAACTCCTGAACAGATATTAAATTCTACCTGACATGCTATAAATGCATGTAGCCCTGTTCCGTCCCACTAACCCCATACGTTTGGCTACATCCACTCACTTGTCAGAGGTTTTTTATGGCTGGTACAATTAGTTGCACCACTGCATGTTCAGATGATGCTAAGCCTTCTCTATTTCCTATCACTTATTCCCTCTGTTTATCTTCAACTTCCACTTCCAGGTCTGAAATAAAAAAAGATATACTCACCCGATCCTCAGTCCTGTGGCAGTGACCGCTCAGCTCTCTACCCCTCCACTCCGGCTGTGGAGTGTCCCTCAAGAATAATACAAGTTAATGGCCTTGAATTACATGTGATGACAACAGCGGCACTTTGACTGAGGTAGTCCAGGGGAGAAGAGGCTTCAAGGGCTGGTCCAGCAGCCAGGTGAAACCAAAGATCAGGTGAGTATATCTTTTTTTTATTTTAGACCCTAGACCAAATCAAGCACTTAACCCTTACAGTGTGGAGGTAGCCCCACAGCAAGGGTTCATTTTTTTTTTTAACTGCCTTCAGTTCTTCTTAAGCAGAGCTTTAACAGTGGTAACTATTCTATTAGGTTACTTTTGGGATCTCATCACCTGTCCCACGAGGAGAAGAAAGGATCTCTTTGAGTAACTAAATTTGAGAAAAATATCAAGCTATTCTCAAATGGAAAAGATGGAAGCGGTAGAACATAAAAAAATCCACATGGATATTATGGATCTGAGTGTTGAAGAATATACATTTACTATTAAATGTAAAAACCATCCTTCAGTTCTTTATTCCATGTACCCTAATTCTTTGTCTTTATACTGGAGGTGTAAATGATAGCGTAGGGAACCCTTAAACATATCTTTTGGGATTGTTCCAAGAATAAACCCTTTTTGCATAGTGCGACTGACTTGATACATACTATAGCTGGGATCTGCATTTTGATCCTTTGATTTTCCTCCTCCATCGTACACCGCTTTCGAGGAAAGCGTACAGATGCTCCTTATTGATATACTTAGTGAATGTGGCGAGGGCTTGCATCCCCACTATGTGGAAGGACTCAAAGTGCCCCTTAGTGGCAATGTGGCTGCGGAGAGTTGAGGAGATTGAATTGATGGAAGACCTGACTTCTTCCCTGCATGACACTCAGGACAAATTTGTGACTACATGGGCGGCTTGGATTCGATTTTGGGACTCGGAGGTTTATTCTCGGCATATTCGGCTTGATATCCTTGGGCCTCGTGGGAGGCAGCGCTTACTTCCTGACACATGTTCAGACTTGGGATCTTTCCCCATGAGTAGGGAGTTGGCATGGAGGGCCAGAGGCGGAGGGGTGCTCTGTTCTACGTTCTCTATTCTTTTTTTTTCTCACTCTCTCTCTTCCTGATAATCTTTTCCTCCCATGTCTTTTAGTTATGTTTCTATTGCTCATTTTGCTTGTTCATGTTTCTTTGGTCTCCTTTCCTTTTCTCTAATTCTTATAGTTTAAAAACTTTGAGGTAGTGCTTGGGACTCCCACCGTCTACATGGGCTCCATACTGGTGTATTGGCTATATGTTTGCCACTGTGCTGTGAACTTTCTGTTTATTACTGTTGCAATGTTGATTTGACTTTATGTGGCTGTCTTTATGGTGTATTGTGAAAGAGAGTAAAGATGAACTTGAGGCAGATATAAAAAGAATGCAGCTCTGTAATCAGTAATACATATTAAATTCATTATTCCTCATTAATGCAAGCATTGTAAGTACCTGAATGTGGCTTGGTACCAGCTCTTGCAGGAGACAGAAAGGGAGAGGAAAAAAAAGCACAATGAGCCAATCAGGTGTGCTGCAGTGCTAGGAGCATACTGATAGGAAAAAGCAGAGTGATAGAAAGAAGAGTTCATCAATGTGTTGTATATCCTTTCACTGTCCAGTCACAAAGTGGGAAGGGAACCTGTAAGTAAAAGTGAAACTGCAGCAGAGAAGTGTCAGGTCCCTCACCTGCCAAACAGGGCTTTGATGCTTGGCAGAGCTGTGTAAATCTCAGCTCTGGATAGACATGGCTATAAATCTGGCAGGTAAAACAGCTCCCATAAATGTATTTCAACTCTGTATTTAGCAGTTTGCCTGAAGTTTGGCTTTAATGGACCATATTCGTTTGAAAATTATCTAAAAAACAAAAGTGAATTTGGTGCAATTTATACAAATCTTACCTTTAAAGATTGACTATTGCTGCATTGACTGTGCACAATGCCAAGGTCTTTTAGTTTTTTTGCTAGCTCAGTCAACAAGTGGCTGTAGAGGTCTTCTAGGCTTGTGCCTGAAACGCACAGATTTAGACAGGACTTCTGCACCTGTAATACAATCTCATACAGCTCTTCTTGTGCAGCAGAGAACCTTCAAATAAAAAGAAATGTTACTTAAAAAAAAAATAAGTTACTTAATTTCTAGCTGTGGATTTTTCAGTACATTAACAAACTAAATAGTATACAAGATTAAGATGAAATATGTCGCTTAATATTTTTTTTGCACATTTTGGCACATTCTAAAACAAATGTTATAAAAGTTGCTTTTTATAGCTGAGAGCTACAGAGCACCCAGATTGTAAGAATTGCTTACATTTTCTTCTGCTACTGTTCGTGCCTGTTATCCAGTAGCAAGAATATTAGCTGCAGTGCTATAATGTAAAATGTAAGAATTGCTACAGTTGAAAATAAATGTTCCTTGACTTTCACTTCAACTCCTTAAAACACACCAGCGTTTTGCCCATGTAAGACGAAGCAACAAAACTGCTTTAATGCCCTCCATCTCAGCAGCACATAGTCACCTTAATTTTGCCGCGAGGTGCTACAGTGTTCGGGTTTGGCTTGAAGAAAAGGTGGCAACCCTATGCCCCACTGTTCCTTTCAGCAGGTGGGGCAAGGAAAGATGGACCTGTGCAAGCTTTGAACCCCTCTAGCTGAAGCTTTGTCAGGGTTGAGGACTCTTTCTATGCCACTGTGTGATAGAGCTGGGACAATCCCCAAGCAGCAGTGCTGTAACATGAAGGGAAGGGGAGAGAGTCACATGCTCTATTATATGTTATTTTCTTCAGGCTCAGTGGCTAAATAGTTCTGCAGGGGAGTGAAGAATCAGTGAACATGCTGATGTGTTGTGCACTTAAAGTATGCATAATAGTATTGAAAATAGTAAAAAAGGAATGTTGACCAGACCAGGGCCGGCCTTAGGCCTTAAGGCGCCCTTGTTGCCATGGCGCCCTGTGCGGCCGCACGGCTCGCACACCCCTAAGGCCGGCCTTGGACCAGACAAAGGAAGTTATAACAAAACAGATATTGAAAATGACCCTTAGCTTATAGAACAAGAGAAATGCTACTATGCAACAGCACTGCAATGCACATATTGAGATTTAAGTGACTATGCTGCAGGCATAATAATTGGAAGATACTCTGAAAAAAAAAGAGCCTTAAAAGAATTACATTCATCCCCATAGTTAGAGCCGACGTGTGACACTGAAACTGTCACAGGTCAGGTCTGTTGGTCGGGAAGTGAGCGACAGTTCCTGACTGTCAGTCACAGCTCCCTGCAAGGATTCCCCCCTCCCCTCTCCGATCCTCCAGTGCTGACTGGAGGGACGGACACGGGACGGGGCGGGCATAGCTGGCCCTACCTCTAGCCTAGTTAACAGGAGATAGGTGCACTTCAACAAGACCCTAGAAAAATTTGAAGCATGGGGTACACATTGGCATTTAATGTTGATAAATGTAAGGTTATGTATGGCCAACAAAGCAAACAGGATACTGTCCTGCATTAAAAGAGGGATTGTGGCAAAGGATAAAAAAAGTAATACTTCCACTTTATAAATCACTGGTTTGGCCTCATCTTGAGTATACGGTGCAATTTTGGTCGCCAACTCTTAGGAAGGATGTCCTCGAGCTTGTGAGAGTTCAAAGAAGGGCCACAAGATTAATTAAAGGGATAGCAGGCCTGAGCTATGAAGTCCGCCTCCAACAATTAAACTTATTTACCTTAGAAAGGAGGTGATTAGTAGGGGACCTTTTTGCAGTATTCAAAATCTTCAATGGGGACCACAATATTCGGAACAAGTTGTTTTCACCAAGAACAGTATTGAGAACACGCGGACACAAGAGGTTAGAAGAGGGGGGTTCAATCTTAACTGCGAAAGGTTTTTTTTTTACTGTGCGAGTAGTAAAAATATGGAATTCCCTTTCACAGGTAGGGGAATCCACTGATAGCGTAGATAAGTTAAAGAACCTTCTAGATGATTTTCTTCAGTCACTAAACATACAAACATATGGGAAATGTTAAATACACATAAATACAGACAGACAGACAGAGACACACACACACGTTGAACTGGATGGACCTTGGTCTTTATTCAACCTCACCTACTATGTTACTATGTATGTATAGCCATAACCCGCAACATACTGGGTTTTGGGTCATGGGAGGACATTAGTGTATACCAACAAAAATATATATAAAAATTAACTGCGCCAATAAGCAAAGTAACAGCTACAAGGCACTGGAATGTACACCCACTGTGAGTGTGTGTACGTGAAAAATGAATAACTAAATGAGCTCGGCACACTATCAAGAAGAGGCTTGTGTACCATCAAGAAGCTATTGTTAACAAGAACAGAACACACGTGCATCGGATTGCCAGACAAAGAAGCGTGATTCATTACTCCAGAGAACACATCTTCACTTCTCTAGAGTCCAGTGGCGGCGTGCTTTACACCACTGCATCCGACGCTTTGCAATGCACTTGGTGATGTAAGGCTTGGATGCAGCTGCTCGGCCATGGAAACCCATTCTATGAAGCGCTCTACGCACTGTTGTTGTTCCAATCTGAAGGACACATGAAGTTTGGAGGTCTGTAGATATTGACTATGCAGACAGCTGGCGACTTCTGCACACTTCAGCGCTGATCCAGCTCTGTCATTTTACATGGCCTACCACTTCGTGGCTCAGTTGTTCCCACTTTGTTATAATACCACTAACAGTTGACCGTGGAATATTTAGTAGCAAGGAAATGGAAGCAATGGACTTATTGCAAAGGTAGCAACCTATCACAGTACCACGCTTGAATTCACTGAGCTCCTGAGAGCGACCCATTCTTTCTCAAATGTTTGTAGAAGCAGTCTGCATGCCTAGGTGCTTGATTTTATACACCTGTGGCCATGGAGGTGATTGGAACACCTGAATCCAATGATTTGGAGGGGTGTCCCAATACTTTTGACAATATAGTGTGTATGTGTGTGGTGTGTGTATATATACTGAGAGTGCCATCTCCCATAGCAACCAGGAGAAGGTTGCCACCAGGAGTGAAAAGCAGCAGTGGAGATGCAGTGCTGCAGTGCAGTGCAGCGTTTTGTTCAACCTGTGGGTGTGTTTCAATCTGCCAAGGATTCCCAGGAGGGAAACGCATGTGATCGTGCAGTACCGTGTGCAGCATGTGGCCGATGGGGTCATGGGTGTGTGACATGCCCTGAGCTGTGGGGTACCCCGGGAGATCCTGATGGGCATAAGAGGGAGCCTGCAAGATCAGGCTCTGAAGAAAATGTGTTTGCAATCACCCCAGGCAACAGTGGAAAGTTTCCTGTTGTGCCGGCAGGGGGTGCTAAGGAGCATAAACTGCCTGCTGTTGTTTCCCCTGATGTTCATATGGGTGGAATGGCAGGTGAAAAGCAAATTAAGGAGTCTCTACATCAGCGCTCTCAAAGGAAGATGGCTACGTATACTCCAGTGGTGGGTAAGACTGTCTTCAATGTTATGTTTGCTGGGACTGGTAATACAGTCAAGAAAGAGACTGAATATGACTCTGTTCATGGTGAAGTGGGAGTGAACCCAGTTGGGAGACCCGCTGTAGAGAGAGACTTGCCTCTGTATAATCTGTTATATAGTGGGGAGGCGATACTATGTGTAAAAATGCGTTGTCTGCAGTGCGGGAGGGTGCAGCAGAAGTATCTCTGGAAACCTTTAGGGAGCCCTGTGAGCTGGAACCAGAGGTTACCCAGGACAGCTATGGTGCCGCCCTGCTGGGTACGGGTGAAATTGCAACCAGTAATGTGAGGTCTAATGCCATAATTACTGAAATGAGCGATGGGATTAGTGTTCAGTTACCAGATACTTCTGTGTCTCCTCAGATGGATG